GTGGGCCTGTGATCAGGAACGAGACAGTGGCAGCCAAGATGGTACCCTTCTGTTTGGGGTCCCATTGGGCTGAGACGAAGGCTGATGGCCTGATCACACGCCGTGCGGTTTCTGAACTCCAGAGAGCACAGCCAGGAGTGATCTGGGATGGCCACAGGGTTGGTCCTAATGGAGGAGCTCCGAGGGCTCTTCAGGAAGGACCAGCTGCCAGTGGGGTTCAGATAGTCTGTGACTTCTGGTCAGAGGGCTCATTGGGAGGGAGGCAAAGTTGTTGACCCTCCGAAGGCTGTGGTGCCTTGTAATGATTAACCTGTCCCTTCTTTTACCTGTCCTGAAGGGCTGTTGGGCCATGGCCAAGAAGAGTGATTTTGGGCCACTCTCTTTGCCAGATGCCAAGTGTGGGAGCTGCAGTTTTTCCAGATAAATCTCCCTCTTCTACAGACCCTTTCTTTCTGACTCAAGAATCTTGTAGGAGAAGTGACCATGCTTCGTATCATGAGCAGAGAAGAAGTCAAAGAGGGAATGGGTCAGGAAATTGAGGCAGAAGGGAGGATTTGCTCAGGGCGCCGTAAAAACGAGGTATCATGGAAAAGACCCTTGATGAGCAAAGAAGCATTGATGTCCTTTATCCCTGAGATTCTCCCCAATTTATCCTTCAGACACCTCATTTGTTCATGGTTGTCTGTGGTGGGCACTGTTGTTTTTTGCCTGTCTTTGTTTCCCTCAATGCCTGGCACATAGTAGGGAAGTTATCAGTGCTCCTTCCCTTTCCTTTCCTCTTCTGAACTTCCTCTGTGGGGGTAGAATGGGGAAATGCTCTGATCCTGTGATTTCCTTGCCTTCCCAGTATGCAAATCATTTAACATTATATAAACCTTTTAATATTACGCAAATATTGGAAGTCATCCTTAAAACCAAGTGCCTGATTTGTTCTGGTCGGGGAACTTCCTTTTCCTTGGGCTCCAGCTGGCCTGCATCCAGCTACCCTGCCAAAGGGGCTGGTGCTGGCTCTCAGGTGATAATGGGCAGGGCCTCCTGGACCATCATGGGGCGGGGAGAACATTGCACCCTGGGATGCTGGGCTCCCTCTAAGGCCTTTGCTGTAAAACACTGGATTTCCCGGTCAGCTTTTGGGACAGCCTCTAATCCCTCCTCCTCCCTTCACATCTCAGAATCAAACCAAACAGCAGATTTAAAAAACCCACCCAAACCCCCCAAACCCAGGACGAATGGTGAGCGATTATTTGCCTTCCTGAAGAGTTAGCTTTCCAAGACTGCCATGACTTTTGGCATGGGAGCTGTACCTGAGATTTCACTGGACCATAGGTTTAGAGCAGAAGGATGCCGTGGGGTCATTTTATAGGGGAGAATCCCAGGGAGGGGAAGGGATTTATCAACCCAGGGTCACAGAGATCAGTCAGTGTCTGAGGGAAGATTTGAACTCAAGGTTTTTCTGACTCCAGACCCCAAACCGTTCCCTTTATAAAGGAGGAAATGGAGGCCCAAGAGGTTAAAAGACATCATCTTCATCATGATCATGATCATGATGACAATAACCACAACAGTGATAATAGATCACATTTATGTGGTGCTTCCTATGTGCCAGGTACTGTACTAAGTGCTTTACGATGATTATCTCATTTGAGCCTCACAACAACCCTTCGAGATAGGCGCTATTATCTCCATTTTACAGATGTGAAAACTGAGGCTGGAAGAGGTTTTTGCCAAGGTCTGGTGCTCTGTGCACCATGGAGCCACCTAAGTGCCCCAGGCTTGTCCAGGATAGAGCTGGAAGGGACCATAGAGCTCATCTATACCAGCCCCTTCATTTTACAGGAGATGGAACTGAGGCCCAGGGAGAGAGACTTGTCTAAGGGATGACATTTGAGGCAGGCAGGCTCTTGTTTTTGTGATTTTTCCTTGGTTCCTGCCCCCAGTGGTTAGCACAGGGCCAGGCACACAGGCACTTACATGTTTGTTGACTTACTGATGACTGGAGAGGAAATGATGATGGTGATGGTGAAGATGGTGATGGTGGTGATGGTGATGGTGATGATGGTGATGGCGATGGCAATGGTGATGATGATGGTGGTGATGGTGATGGTGATAATGGTGATGGCAATGGTGTTGATGGTGATGGTGATGGTGATGGCAATGGTGATGATGGTGGTGAAGATGGTGATGGCAATGGTGATGATGGTGATGGTGATGGCAATGGTGATGATGGTGGTGAAGATGGTGATGGCAATGGTGATGATGGTGATGGTGATGATGGTGATGGCGATGGTGATGATGGTGATGGTGATGATAGTGAAGATGGTGATGGTGATGATGGTGATGGTGATGGTGAAGATGGTGATGGTGAGAGAGATAATGATGATTTTCTTTTAATCTCCCTTCTGTTGACTGCAGGCTCCCAGGGGGTGAGTGTTAGAAGGCTGGATGGCTGAGACTGAGTGAGGCTCTGCTGCATGGGCTTTTTGAATCTCTCAGACTCAGACAGGGACCAAGGAGCCCAAACACCACTGGTATACAGCCTCCTAGTCTTCTTCCCCTCCCCACCCGATCCTTTCCCCAGGCTGGCCTTCCGGGGCCCTTGTGACCGGTGCCTTAGTCTTGGAGAGACTCGGCTATAATTAGCCAGAAGTGAGAGTTGGCACCTCCCTCCTTGACCCCACCTCTGTCTCCACCCTTGAGGTGGTGACAGATGCTTACCTGGGGCAGAGGGCCCAGGAAGGCTCAAGGCTGGGATGGTGGGTGATGTGTTTGGGGGCTCTGAGGGGAGATCCTTTGGCTTTGGTGAACTTGCATGCAAAAAAAAAATAGGCTAACTGGATTTCACTATGATGGTTTCCTTTGGAAGCCTATGCATTTTATTTTGCATATGTAGATAATTTCTTTCTCAGAAGGAGCTCATCAGCTTCCCCCAACTGCCACAGGGACATGGGATGCAGAAAAGATGCCCCCTTGCCTTAGAGCCCATCTGTTCTAACCCTCTCCTTGTTTTTGTACATGAGGCAACTGAGGCCCAGAGCAGGAAGGCTCCTTGCTTGGGGTCCCCCACTGCCAGGCAGTGGCAGACCCAGCATTTGCCCCCAGGTCTGTCCCCTGCCTCTCAGTGCTGAGCTTTAGCTAATTCACAGCTTAGGTGGTAGTTGCATCTTCAGTCCTGTTGGACCCTTGGGCTTTGTAGTACCCAGGATTTTGAACGGCCCCTCTGTCAGACTTTCCTGCTGATCCAAGGATTCTGGACTCCTTGGAGCCTTGGAGGATGGGATACTGTGGGAAGTCTCTTTGCTCTCTTTCCAAGTCTTTCCAAGTCACTGAGGCATCTTGAGGAAGAGCAACTTAGCAATGTGTGAACAGGGTACACTACCAGCCTTGGAATCCTGAAGACTTGGGTTCAAATCTCAACGGTCTTGGATCCTACAGGTTCCCTGCCTGTGAAGAGGGGCATCATAATTACCTGTAGAGCTTACCTCAGAGCTTCTAAGAGAGTGTCTAGTGCTTCTACAGACTTCAAAGTCCTGTCTAAATGTCAGGTATTACTGTTATAATAGGTGTGCATGGGAGCTTTAGGCAAAGCTAGTATGGGATGACATATGATTGCAAAATCCCTCAATTAGGAGATGAGGATTTGCTTACAAAGGAGGCTGTCCAGGCTGGGTGGGTAGGTTTGTGGACCGAGGTTCAGCTTGGAGTCAGAGCTGGGATTCTGGTCCTGGCTTGGGCTGGTTGAGAGCTGTGTGTCTCCTGGCTGAGTCTCAGACTCCGCTCATCTGTCAAATGTCCAGGAAGGGGAGGGGGGTTGTTGTGGATTGAGTGCTGGGCTTGCAGTCAGGATGGGTCTGGGTTAAGATCCCATCAACTGACACTACCTATGTGATTTAGCCTCTCTGATCCCTGTTCCCTCATTTGTAAAGTGGAGGTGATAACCTGTGCTGACCAAATCAGAAGGTGCTTGTGAGGCTCATATAAAGGAACATGTGGAAAGTGTTTTGTAAGTTTTAAAGTGCTGTAGAAATGTCCATTATTATTATTTATTATTATCAACAGTAATAGTAATAAAGACTCATGAAAGTACAATCTGAAGTCAAAGGGACGTGGATTCGAATGTTGGCCCTGCTGCTTAGGATTGTTATGACTCTGGGCCTGGGGATTTTTTCCTTTGCAAAGTGACCTCTGAGGGCCCTTCCCTGTCAAGCTGTGATCCTGTGATTCTTCCCATTCATCCATATCACTGTCTCCCTAACAGTGACTGCAGGCTCCTGGGGGTGGGTGTTCAGAAGGCAGGCTGGTTGAGAGTGGCTGGCCAGTGTGAACTAGAGGGAGGCTCCCCCTCCTTCAGGATTCTCCTTAGGTTCCTCCGAGTTTGGCATCCCAGAGTGACGCTTGCTTTTGTAGGAATCCCTCGGTTGTGTTTTGGGTTGGGATGGTATTTGTCGTGGATGGCATACAAGTGTGTGAGGACATAGATGGATGCAGAGGTGTCCCCTCCATCCCTTTCCCAGTGCCGGATTGGACTGAGACTTGGCATCCAGCCTTGGCCCTGCTGCCTCTTTTCCTCGGCAGAGTCGTCGGGTGGTTGGCTAGTTGGCGGCCTTGGGCCCCGATGCCTGGAGGTGGAGCCAGCTGCCTTTTGGGCTTACAGGAGTCTGGCGGAATGGGGTGGACTTTAGCAAGGTGAGGGCCAAAGAGCAGAGGCCTCCCTCAGGAGGGATCGGCCCTGCCCTGCCTTGCCCAGCCCTGCCCCGAGGACCTTTGTGTGGGTAATCTGACCCTGGCAGTGTCTTTCAACGTGGGGGCCTGCCTTTCTTACGTAATAGGGGCTCATGCAGTGGCGGGCAGCTCCTTTGTAGTCATACCTGATTGGTGTGTGTGTCAGGGTGCTCCTTCTCTCATTCGATCAGGCTCAGGCCAGATTGAAGGCCCTTCCCAGACCATCGAGTTTAGCCTTTTTTTTTTTTTAATCTTTCTTCCATGCCTTTGCTCGTTTACAGTTTACTTACGCCCTCTCCCCGCATTGGACCTGCCTTTGTAACAGACTCACAGTCGACCATAGGGAAGGACTTCCTGTGACAGTGTGTGCAACGTTTGGGTCCTGTGGGCCCTCGCCTCTCTACTCAGCAGAGCACAGGAATGGTGTTTCCCCTGCTGTTCTCCTGTCCCCTCCCCGTGTTTCACTTCCCTTGAGTAACAAAGAAAACCGCTTCAAACCAGTGGCCCAAGCAGGCTTCTCCAAGCATGTATGCAGTAGTACAGTCCAGTCACACCCCACCTTTCTACTCAGAGGCCCAGCATGGACCGTGCCAGTGAGACAGCATGGAGCAGCCTTGTGATTGGGGCTTCATTTGAGGTATTTCAGTTACTGTGTCTGTTATTTTGTGAGTTCTGCCTCATCCCTGAAAGTCTGGCCAGGTTTCTTGGAATTCCTTGATTCTTTGCTTTTAGAGGCAGTGATTGGGCTGGGGCTGTGATTTCATGAGTCAGTCAGCTGCTTAGCAAACACTCATCAGGGCCTGCTGTGCGCCTGGCACGTTCTTAGGCTGAAGGTACAAAAAAAGGGAAGAGGCGGTTCATGTATGGGCAGCCCCGAGGAGCCCATAATCTAACTGGGGAGACAACGTGTGAGCATGTATGCACGGACAAGCTGCAGATGGTCAGCAGGGGAAGGTGGAAGAACTGAGAGGTGCTGGGAGCGGCTTTGGGCAGATGGAGAGTTCTAGCTGAGACTGAGAGGAAGCCAGGAGGTGGAGATGAGGAGGGAGGGCATTCCAGGCATGGGGGCACAGCCAGAGAAAATGCCTGGAGTTGGAAGATAGACAGTCTTGGGTGAAAAACAGCAAGGAGGCCAGTGCCGTTCGATGGAAGATGTCTCAGAGGTGGAAGTGTAAGGTGGGGTGAAGGTGGTGCTTTGAGGAATGAGCTTTTCAGGCTGTAGTGTGCTCCAGAATGGGGCTCTCTTCCTCCCTCTTCCTGGGGAGCTAGTGTGGCTGTAGGGCAGAAGTATTTCTCAGGTCCGCCTTCCACTAATGACGATGGTAATAATTCCCACCTCACTTTGATCTTCACAACAGCCCTGGAAGGCTGTTAGTGTTATTATCCCATTTGTCAAATGAAGCAGTTGAAGACAGGCAGAGGTTAAATGACCTCCCTTCATCACACAGTAAGTATCTGAGACTAGATTTGAACTGGAGTCTTCCTGACCCCATGTCCAGTGCTTTACCAGCTATACCACCAACTGCCCTAAGAACACTGGTCTTTAAAGTCAGAAGGCCAAGGTGTGAAACCCATCTTTTGCAGTGGATAGAGTCCTGCATCTGGACCTGGAGTCAGGAAGTCCAGAATTCAAATCTGGCTTCAGATACTTAGTAGCTGTGTGACCTTGGACAAGTCACTTAACCTCTCTCTACACTCAATATCCACTCTATTACTAGATGCTTCCCATAGGGCCCTCACTGATGACCTCTCCAGCCTTATTTCATATTTTTTCTCACCTTTATACAATGTATTTTCTAATTGCATATTAGCTTTTTAATGATTAGATTTGTCTGACTGTGGAATGAATTTTCTCAGGAACTCGTGAGCTCTGTCATTGCAAGGTGTGAATGTACAGGCTGGGTGACTTGGTCGGAGGTGTCGTAAAAGTGTTCTCTTCTTCAGGAGTGTTGGTCAGTCTTGTCCTGTTCTTTGTGATTGCATGTTGGGTTTTCTTGGCAGAGATACTGGATTTTACAGATGAGGAAACTGTAGCAAACAGGGTGAAGAGACTTGCACAGGGTCACGTAGCTAGTAAGTATTTGAGGTGAGATTTGAACTCAGGTCTTACCGACTCGAGGCCCAGCCCTCCATCTACTGAGCCACCCAGCTGCCCTTCTTCAGGAGTGGGCTGTTTGAGATCAGGGTTTCTTAATCTATGGGTTCATGGATGGATTTCAGGTAGTTTGTGAACATAGATGGGGAAAAAATACATCTTTATTTTCCTAACTTCTGGTTGCCTTTGCAATGCTGCGTATTTTATTTTAAAAACACGATCCTGTGGAGGGGTCCCTAGGCTTTGCCAGACTGCCTGCTGAGGGGACCGGAACACAAAAATAGTCAAAGAAATTCTGCTCCCGATGACCTCCAAGGCTCCATCCATTGGAAAGTCTCTGATCTCTTGGCAAATGTATTTGTGTTGGTGATGCTGGCTTGTATTGTGGGACTGTGTTTTTGGCACCTAGGAACACTGACGAGCATTTCTAAAGACTGGCCATGGGCTGCCTCGAGCCTGGGTGAGTGATATCATGATAGTTTCACCATCATGGTGGCTGCCATCTTCTCTGGCTGACTCCAGACCTCTTGTGTCCACTCTCAGTTTTCATCGGCAGTATGGCTGGTTCCATGAAGTTCCAGATATACAAATGCTACCTTGATGTGGCTTTGAGCTCTTGCTGTCTCACCCCACTGGCCTTTGGGGTGAGGGGAAGCAGAGCTAGGAAGGCCTTGATGCGCTAGCAATGACATCATGCTGACCTCATCCTGGCTGTGTCGTTTGCACGAACAGATTGCCCGCACGAACAGATTGCCCGGGACCAAGGATTTCCTCCTATATTTAAGTGGGTGGCTGGGATGGGGGGAAGGGAGGATGATTTGTAGTTCTGTTTGTGTGTGTGAAGGGCCAGCTCCAGGCAGGGGTGCTGTCCTCTGCCAAAGCGTCCTTGCTCAAAGATAGTCAGCGGGAAGGTGGCCTTGTGGTTTCCTGAGTGTTATCCGCCGACCTCCAGTTCAGGTCAGAAAACTGCATGACCAGCAACACTTGGAGGTCTCTGATGAGGGGAGAGCCTTTGTAGGAGAGGCTTGTGGGGTCTGGCCATATAAACAAGTCCACCCAATTGGTGGCAGCAGCTGGGGATGACACCCATTTCTGCCCATTTCTCTTCCTATTCATAAATTAAAGAAATTGGGATTAAAAACTGGTGTTTTTTAATAATGCTTTAGCAAAGCCCTTTGATCTTTGGAACCAGGCTGCGATGTAGGTGTCTGTGGTGCGAGGGGGTGCAGGTGGTAGAATGTCTGACTAGGAGTCAGGGAGAGCCGTGTTCAGAGCCTATCCCAGACATTGATTTACTAGCTTTGTGACTGATTCTGTGCTGCAGTTTCTTCATTTGCCAAATGGACTTTGTGATGGCCCTTACCTCACACGACTGCCTCGAGAATCAGATGAGAGAACAGATGGAAAGCACTCACTCAGGAAACCTTGAAGCTGATATAAATGTTAGTGATGACCATCTCTGTTATTCAGATGAAGAAACCAAGGCTGAGAGAGGTCACAGGAACATAGATCCAGAGCTGACCACTGAGTCCAACACCCTCGTTGGACACTTGGAGAAACAGGCTCAGAGAGGAGAGGAAGAAGCTTGCCCAGGTGTGGGCTCTTCTCCCCAAGCAGATCCCAGCTCCTCTGGGACCTAGTGGGTGGCCTCTGAAAGATGAAAATGGATCACCCTCTGGCCAACCTGGTGAAGAGGGGCAGAGATTTGAATGACAGATGCATTGTGGCTCCCCTTGCTCATAGAGCTTTGGCCAGTCTGGGGTCACTGCCAAGTCCTGAAGAACGTTTATTAGTGGGGTGTGTGTGTGTGTGTGTGTGTGTGTGTGTGTGTGTGTGTGTGTATACACATGTGCATATGTATGTATGTATCTATACACTATACACACACATAAAAATATACACACTTAAGTATTCTAATATAGTCATAACAGTTATTGTTATTATTGTTATATAAATTAAAGGGAGGCATTATGGAAAAATACACGTTTATGTATTGTAATATATTACAGTCATTATTATAACATTTATTGTTGTTATTCTTATTATTGTTATATAAATTAAAGGGAGACATTATGGAAAAAGAGCCAGCTGTAGAGTTCCAGGGAAGACCTGGCTGCATTTCCTGCCTCTGCTGCCCGCTGCCTGTGTGACCTTTGGCAGACCACTCAATGACTCTGTGCCAGGAGACCCTTCACTGGCAGAGGAAGTTTCTTCATCTGGGAATTCCCTTAACTGATGATATCATAGGACCAACCCCTTTCCTTATCTTAATTAGAATATCTTTGGAGGATGTGTGTGTGTGTGTGTGTGTGTGTGTGTGTGTGTGTGTTATGAGACATTTATCATCCCTGAGGTACCTCACCAGGACATGCAAAGGCAGGACTGGAATCTTTGGCCTTTGGGTCTGCTGCTGAGTGAAGGATGGAGAAGCCTAGAACTTTAGGAGAAAGAGGGACCTCTGAGGCCATCCCCATGCCTTGTGGGTTCTGCTATCTCCAAATTTTTTTTTTGAACTTGATCTCTGATTTCATTGGGATGATAGTGAGTATGATAGTAATAATGGCTAGCATTTATATAGGGCTTTAAGGTTTGCAAAATCCTTTACATCGATTCTCATTCATTAAAATAACCTTGTGAAGTAGGTGCTGTCATCGCCAACTTAGTGGTGAGGAAACTGAGGGGGAGAGGCTAATGATTTACCCAGGATCACACAGCCGGCAAGTGTCTGAGGCAAGAGTTGAACGCTGGTCTTTCTGACTCTGAGTCCAGTGCTTTGTCCGTTATCCATCTGCCTCAACTGTAGGAAGCTCCCTTTACCAGTGTGGGTTGGCTCCTCCCAGCTCTTAGCCAGCTGCCTGGGCCCTGGAACTGTAAGGGACTTGACCCTAGTCCCTCAGGCAGTTTGTTGTGAGCGCAGACTCAGAGGTGGTGGGGACCTCTGAAGCTAGTCTAATGGAGGTCCACTCTGCCATTCTATAGGTAAGGAAAGCCTTTGGAAGTTAAGTGACTTGTCTGAACTCAGGTCTCCCTGACACTGTCATGTCTTTCCTCCACATTTGAGAGATGGAGAAGCTTCCTTTCAGGATAGCCTATAGATTCTCCTCCAGTCAGATGGCTAGGGAATGTCTGGTGAGATTGGATCCCAGGTCTGCCTGATGCCAAGTCCAAAACTTTGGCCGATCCCTCAGATTGCCTTCTGGCTCCCGGCCCAGTCTTCCTAGAGTCTCCCAGCAGGCTGGGAGCCCCCAGAATATCTGATGAGTCGCTCCTCTCGCCAGAGTTGGGTAGGCCCCCTGAGGTCCTCTGGCCCCAACAGAGAAGGAAGCTGAGGCTTAGAGAAAGTAGGGACATGTCCAAGGTGACAGAGACCATTCTAGACCCCAGATCCCCAGCCCTCCCTCTATCATTGGCTGCTAATTTTGTGAGGATTATCATTGTGTTCTAATAGTAAAGTGCCCACTCTGGGCCTGAGATGCATCTACCCCAGGGAAGCCACATTGAGAGCAGAGAGTTTCAGGGGATCTTGGGAGACCTTCATACAG